TAATTTTGTATATAAATTGAACATTAATTTAATATATATATATATATATATATATATATATATATATATATTGAAAATGTGCTTGTTTTGTTTCGATCTTGCAGTGGTGAATCGGGCGCTGGAAAAACGGTTGCGGCGAAATACATAATGTCCTACGTGACGAGGGTGAGTGGCGGAGGCAAAAAGGTACAGAAAGTAAAGGACGTGATCTTGGAGTCAAATCCGCTTTTAGAAGCTTTCGGCAACGCGAAGACAGTGAGAAACAATAACAGCAGTAGATTTGTACGTTTCAAATTGTGCTCGAATCGATTCACTAGTTTTTACTAATTTGTTAAATGTATTACAGTCGACAAAAAGTTATTACTCGAGCGGAAATAAAGGAAATCTTAAATTTTCAGGGGAAATACGTCGAGATGCAGTTCGGGCCGGGCGGTCAGCCAAACGGTGGAAAAATTTCGAATTTTCTTTTGGAAAAATCAAGAGTAACTTGCCATAATCCCGGCGAGCGGAACTTTCACATATTTTATCAGTTAGCGACAGGCGCCAATCAAGAAATTAAAAGTGAGTGATCGATTAAGACGTAAAAGTATCGATGACAAATAAAATTTGTACAAAAGGATAATACAAAAGTATTTAAATTTTCTAGCTGAACTTGGATTGACGGGTCTCGATTACTATCAATATTTGAGTTATGGTGGTAGTTACAGAGTGGACGGGACAAACGATGCGCGAGATTTTCAGGAAACTCTTAAAGGTACGTAATTAGAATGTATCTCACAGTGATAATTAATTTCTGTGCAATTATAATTAATAGTATAATGTTCCATAATTATTACAGTACATTCTTGTATCTTTCTTCCTGATTACTAATAGACTTCTGTTTAATATCTACAGCGTTGAACGTTATGGGAATAAAAGACGCAGAAGTAATGGATATATTCAGATTAGTAGCTGGAATTCTTCACTTGGGAAATGTACAGTTTGCTGAAGATGGCAATTATTCCCAAATAGCTGATAAACAATGTAAGCTATTCTACATGTTAATTAAGGTTGCTTTCCGATATTTACTATCAATATACTGAAAGTCTTATAAGCAGGTAAGGTGTTACACACCCTATATGTGTAGATTTTCAGCATTGACAATAAATATCGAAACGCAGCTTAAAAAATAAAGTATGTATGACATAATATAACGATTAATTACATAACTTATCTCTTATCGGTATAACTTTGTATATAAGTCGCATAAAACATATTTATCTATATCTTATCATATTATATATAAACATTACTAATCGATCGATCATAAAATAAGTTTTAATATAATTTCTGCGCGTATTTGTATTGGTATTTACATTTTCTGCTTTTTTAAAAATCTGATTCTAATTGTATGCGTGGATATGCTTTTAGTTCTCGAGTTTCCAGCCTACCTCTTTAGAATCTCGGCAGAACAACTGTCACACAAATTGATTTCTCGAGAATTCGAGTCGAAATGGGGAAGTCAATCCGAAAGTGTAGACGTGACGTTGAATGTAGAACAGGCGCTTTATACGAGGGACGCTTTGGCAAAGGACATCTACGCTAGGCTTTTTGACTACTTAGTTAAGGTGTGGCAGAGTAACTCAAAGTTTATTTAAAATAATTAATTTTTTAATTATATAGAAAAGATCTTACAATTAGACGAAGTTATCATCAAATGCCAAAGAAGAAAGATTTTTAAATAAAATATTTTAGTAAACAAATAAATTATATTCTGGTTCAAATAAATCCGAATAGATTAGCAGAATTAAAATTATGTTAAAAAACATATTCAGTTCTTCTGTTATTAATTAATTGATAATTTTACAGAAAGTCAATTCAGCTATGGAAACAAACACGGACGGATACGAGATTGGAATTTTGGACATATATGGCTTCGAGATCTTTGAGAAAAACGGCTTTGAGCAATTTTGTATAAATTTTGTGAACGAAAAATTACAGCAGATTTTCATTGAACTAACATTAAAAGCAGAGCAGGTAAGTCCTTTCGTTAATATTGTTCTCTTTATATTTCGCGTTAAAGTACGCTCGGTGTTTGTTCACATCTCTTTGTTAAGGATAAACAGCAAATTGCCAAAGAATAGGAGTAATAAAAATATTTTACTGGCTACGCACTTTTATATATATATATATAAGTGTATATTCTCTAATTCTATATTAGTTGACTAAATATATTACAAGTATATATTAATCTGTATAAATAATAATATTTATATATTTTTATCATGAGTTATATCCGGCATATTATAAATTAAGGATAAGGCTATTACTAGAACATCAAATTTAACTTTGCAACTTTAAATATTCTCTGAGACTTAATAATCATCTCTATAAAATTAGCATTCTATTTCCAGAAATTTCCGATATGATTGAGCTTTGGCTTTTCTCATATTAGATACTGATCCTAACTAAAATAAAAAAATAAAATAGATTGACCAATCATTCTATACAATAGAAGACACGAAGATGACAGTTTTTCGGAATTCTATCTTAAATAATTGCGAGATGTCCTAAATTTATATTTAATCGTTAAAAATATTTTTGTGTATCTTTAGAGAAGAACTAGAACTCTATTAATTATATCAAATTCTGAAAATACTGAAAACAGAGCATTTACTTCACAAAAAGATAAAGTAATATTTTTAATGCAATCACAGCTAACTCCTCAACGAGATATCCGAAGTTTTGTGACGTTTACAAAATATCATTTTACAAAAAACATAAAAATTCTGCTATTCATAAAACATTTACGATAAGTACAATACAAACTCTATATATATAGAATTCATGATTTGAAAAAAGAAAGATTTGAATAAATCAATGTTAATGACTGTTGTGTAATTAATATAATCAATTACATTAATACAATTACGTTAATTACACGGATTAATATTTTGTTTCAAAACAAGTCGTCAAATCGATCTTCTTTTTCATACTTAGAAATAAGAATGAATTAAGTGTAATAAAAAAAAAAAGTCTTCAGAGTCGCGATTAAGTTCGTTACTTTTCGAGG